CACTAGTCCAGTGCACGCACTAGTCCAGTGCACGTCGATGACTCACTCTTCTACACCTTTGCACCGCTAAACGGTAAGTAACTTGGGATTGATGCATATGATAATTGTTCAGTTTCCGACTCCGAATGCGACCAGAAACCTGCAGTGACACTTACACACCCACACAGTTAGTTACACTTTGCTAGACCGCAATGCTTGTTACAAAATCAAGAACGGATAGTACAAGCTTGCCCAAGTCTTAGTATTCAAACGTCGAGTTCAAATTTGTATAAGGTGGCTGGCGTGCCTTCAACGAGTCGAAGAGCGCCGTCAAAGACGGATCCACTTTGCTTTGAATTTGTTTTTCGTTGCTATCCTAAAAATATACGGTTACTTGTGCCGAATAAACCTTGGAGCTTCAAGCTTCAAGAGCTGCGGGTCACAATTAGACGTTAAATACTGGCTTCGCCACTGACGCTGCAGAATCGCTCATCCCATCCTTCCTATAGCTCAAGAACCCAACGAGACTCCCCTTGGAGTCCAGCCTTTATCGCCGACAATAAATATTAAAAATTGACCGACCTCTGTCATTTTATTTTTATCACTAAAACAACCACTGTCTACCAGTTTTCCGCACAACGCTTACCTACCGGCCTACGTTCTCGACTGTTTAAAATCAAATCTTCCGACTTGACCTTTTACTCCTGCTCACCACCTCGCGTCCACTACAGTGCTTCCCAACAGCTGTGGTTCATACCTTTTATCTTTTTCTGCTCCATCATCTCAGTCTTTCCTTAGCACAATGCGCCTTACGGTCCTTTCATCTAAATTTACTCCGGATGCCGTTTTGGTGTTCTTGATCAACTTCAGTGCCGTTTATGCACGGACAGCCACGAGCGAGGCGGACGAGGCTCAAATTACGGGTGTGCAATATTATTCAAAATCTTCACAATGGCATATCTTGACTTGAAGTTACTAGACCCCGTCGAGGAATTTACATCATATTACTATGCCCCGGTTACTGATGCCCTCGATGGATTCCCTACCATATGGCAACCTGCAACGATCGTTTCAAATGACACAGAGGCGCAAAACATTTGGGCAAACATTTCTCAATCCGTTCCGACAAACATATTTCCTCACGTTTGTTTTTTTCGCGAGCCCCCGTTGAACATTCAAGTGACAAAATTCTCAGGGTGATATATACGGGGACTGGAATGATACAACGTAGCCGAGGATCCCGACTGTTGGTGGACGAAGTCTTTGCACCACGCCCAAACTGTCAACTCTACCTTCGGACGTGGCCAGTATACCTGAGGTAAGCTTCCTGATCCAATGGAGTACGTCGACTTGACGTTGCTCCATCCACTAGCCTGAGACTACTTATGGGCTATGGCTTCGATGACGGCATTTTACGATTACCTAATCAGAAAGCTAGTGCGTACTTGAAATTTTTACGTTCAGCTCCTGTTCATCTCGCTGTAGCGATGTTCTTTATTGGAAGTAACGTTCTCGACTGGCCTTACGAAGCTATGCGGGCTATTGATGAAGGTTCGTTCCGCATTATTTCTTTTTAGAAAGGAAGTTGTTCACAAACGTGCATTCTTCAGGTCATGAAATTTGTGCACGTACATAAGTCGTCCGAACTTTGAGGCTCTCGAAAGATTTTAGTGAATGTTCATTTCGCCAAGTGACTGGATTCTCCAGCGAAGACGCATTTGCCGAACTTTACTACAGTATGTCCTTTTTTTTCTCCTTCATTGTCAACGCACTCAAAATCTTCTAGGTGTTCGTGTATATTCTTCGTGGTAACCGTCATTTGCTAATCAAGAAACCTGCCTACAGATGAAAGCAATCAAACTTGTCCTCGGTGTCACCCCGACTTGCTGGAGAGTAAGCTAGAGTAAGTTACTAATTATCAAAGCGTTTCGAGATTCAGTTACCCATCGTTCTTTTTCAGCCTCCGTTTGGAGATGTTGATGATCGCATTCGGGCAATCGCCGAAGGCCTTGGTTTGCAGACAATCATTTGGCAATATGATTCATTTGATTGGGAGGAGCAATCAGGAAACATTACTGCAGCGCAAGTCTACACCAACTACGACAACTTTATTGCAAGGGCCGAGAACGGAACTTTCAACACTGTACGTCCCGTTTCTGTTTCTGCCTTCTGTGCCTGACAATTTCTACAGGAAGGGTCAATCATGCTGACCCATGAGCTCAACAATTTCACGATGCAAACCGCTGTCACATTATCCCAAATTGAAGGATACTTTCAAGTATCTGGTGCCCGTTGGTGTTGCTCTGAATAAAACCCAGTCTTATGTGGAGACAAATTATTCGCTTCCGACTTTTGATGAATGTATGTTGCCCTTTCCATCCATATTCTACTTCCACTTACATGTACCTAAGATATCTCTGGCAACGTTACCACTAACTCGTCGTCGTCGTCCTCATCGAACTCCACAAGTTCGAGCACTAGCCAATCGTCCTCTGCTGGTGTACGGCTTATTCAAACCATTAGCTCTGTTCTTCTTGCTTCGATCACTCTTGGAATTCTAATGCTAGCAGCCCTGGGGATGAGTGAAGATATGATTCAAGCAAAATGGGCCCTTTTAGTCTTGGTTTCATGCATAGATGGAACGATGTTGCCCGGAAGAGCGCGAGTAAAAGCGACCTTGGTTAGGTGTTATCTCGTTATCCTTGAGCTGAACGATGATATTACAAACATCTTCCAATAGCGCCATAACCAGGAGAAAGAGCCTTCGAAATGCGCTCCCTGGTGAACGAAAAGCTCCTCGACGCGATCCTTGAACGTGCAATGAATGGCCTTCAATTGTGGCCTTGGCATCTCAAAGAGCTTGCGGCTGAGTGAGTCTCTCAAGATTCACAGGGATTTGGATTTTCAATCCGTGCACTAGAGGTGGTTGTTGCGAAGTTGAGAACTTTGATAAATCATAAATGTGTTCCCCGTGTTGAGATGGGATTTGATTGTGACATCGTAGCACACATCGTTATGTACTCACCTTACTTCGCACAAATTACTCTAAACAATAAACTCTCCCTCTACACTCTCCCGTTCTAAACCGAGCTGTTCTAACAAGGTTTCGTAGCGCGTTACTCTTGTGCCTTAGATATCTCAATATCTTTGCCCGATGGTGAACAAGTTTCCTTAATCCGAGACGGTTGCCTAGATCTCTGGGAAAGTGATTTCCGAGATTTCGTATTCGGAATGTGAGGATGGCAGCTGCAATTCTGTATCAGTACCTTATGGACTTGTTGATAGTGGGTACCGCACCTTGAACCTCTGTTCGACCAGGGTCAAACTGATTCTCCAGAGTAGAGAAAGCCACTATGATTCTCCGCTTGTTTTCATACGCAATTCCATCTGAATCCGCATTCCTCAAATCAAGAACCTTTGCAAATGTATTTGCCTTTATATTCTCCCTTTCTCCCTTTCTACCACCCTTTCTGACCAGACTGCGAAAGGTTCATTCTCAGAACCGTTGTTCGACCCTTTTGTATGCAAAGAGAGCTCAGGCAAGCGGCGAAAGAGCTTTTCTGCGTCTGTATCCGTCACACCAAAGCCCATCTGCGAAGGCAGCTGGACGGTGCCAACAGGGAGTTCTATGGAAGTCATTTGTGGAGGACTAGACAATTCAGCCTCATTAACGAGTATTTGGGCCAAGTAACATTTGTCCCATTTAGATTCCTCGCCCTTTCGCGTGCCAAAGACAGGACTGGGTAGGTTGGCATTGATACGTCGCCATTTTTCGGCTTTGATTTCAGTTTTGGCTTTGCTTGTGAGCTTTTTTGTTGTTCTGGGGGCGTTCAGGACGGCGGAGGTATGAAGGAGAGAAGATGTGCTCGGGGACGTGAACCTTGAAGAATCTGAGACGAAACTTGTCAACCAATGGTAGTGTAAGATAGAGTGAAAAAGATACGGACTTTGCGCTAGACACGCTTTGAACATGTTGGACGTGAAGAAGAATACGACAGGCGCTTAGATTCGAGAAGGGAGAAGGACAAAACTATGTAAAACCAAAATGGTGAACGTCTAACCAGGACTCGAACCTTGGTTATGGGAAATATCCAGGTCAAAATCCCATGTCATAACCTCTACACTATTAGACCTGGAGCCAAATCACATAACAGTAAAGTATAATATTTTTGCACATCTTTAATGACAAGTTGTTCCGAGATAAGATGACAAAGGAAGCTTATCATAGGATAAGTCAGCAAAGGCGGTGAGAGTCCACTGGCGCCTGTCAGGCGCCTATCATTTTCTTTGCTCCCGACTTCAACCGCCTTTGCTCGCAGAACTCTCAAATACAAGTTTCTGATTCCCCACCCACCCACTCCTATAAAAAACTAATATATATATTTCACCCAGCTGTACGCTACACTTTGGTCCTCGTGCGTAATATTTTCTTTTACCCACCCGCGCGGGGCTAAAGCCAGCCAAAAACCCTTACTCATATATTACATAATTCTATAAACATTAGACTCCGAGCTACAGCTTGACTTATCATTGACCAACAACGATATGGCCAACGGGGATCCGGAACCAAGTTCAAGTTCCCGCAAAGCAATTACAAAACGTGCTTTTAGAAGATGCAGATCACATCAAAATCAAGAAGTCCAGGACCGTGAAAGCAAAAAGAAAAGAGACAGAGCAGAATCTTGATCATTGGCCTCAATATTTCCATTCGGTAAGCCTCCTCGGAACTTCTAGCGTTAAGCCCTATGCTGAGGGCATGGATCGATAAAGCTCTTTAAGGTGATTCCTATCTCACTCGCTTCGTGAAAGACAGAGGAGGTCAGTCTTTTTGGTACCGTATTGTACATCTTTTGGTGCTTATTGGAGGGTCTGACCTAGGATATTCCGCTGAGGTGAGTACATTGTTATTTTGCTTGGTGAAGGTGTCTCCGAATCTACTTGCAGGAACGTAGACGAATAGAGCACGACGCGTTTACCGGTCATCTCCTCGGAATCATCGCCACTAATTCGCTCGAATTGGGTGTGGACATTGGTACGTTGGGTGCTGTACTTATGCTGGGCTTTCCAGTCACCCTTGCAAGCTTCGTGAGCTGTTATTCATCTACGCAATGCTAAATCTAACGATATATCACATTCCCACACAGCGCCAACAAGCAGGTAGAGCAGGTCGACGCAAACGTGATTCCCTTGCTGTTTTCATTGCCGAGGGGCTTCCGATAGATCAATATTACCTGAACAATCCACATGAACTTTTTGACAAGGATACAGATGATCTACTTATCGACTTGGACAACGAAATAAGTTTGAAAGGTTTGTGCTCTTGCTGGGGTTTCGAAATTATCCTTCGTGTGACTTTTCCCATTCAATATAGCTCACATCCAATGCGCTGCTCATGAAATGCCAATCTGTTTCGAGGACGAAAAATACTCCTTTGCTGAAGGAGATCTGCAAATTCAAACTGCACAGAGACGAAGATGGGTGGTAAGTTGTCCTTCGATGGAATGTCTATCGAAATATTTTGATTCAAAGATTTCAGGTATCACCCTGACAGCAAATGCCTCCCATCACCTTCGAAGCTCATATCCATCCGTATGTCTGAACCGTTGTGACCATGACAACATCTTTTAGAGATTTTTCCAGGTGGGATCCCACAGGATAAATACGTGCTTGTGGATGTAACCAAGTCTGACACATCGGCAACGATAAGTACTGGAAGAAATCGAAATATCTCGAGCCGTTTTCGAGGTGTACGAAGGAGGCGTTGTGCGCCTTTGTTTCTAGTCCATATTTTTAACCGTAACTGAATGATCAATTTGCAGTTCATACACCAAGGTCGACCTTTCATCGTGAGTGTTACTGTCTCCTGAGACCCCGAAGCATTCAAAGCAATCCGGGCGAAGGTCCAGGAAATCCATCATGATACCATGCTGGTGAAGTTAGTTCAAGCCGACGTAAATTGGATCACGAAGCAAAGGTCAGTCCTGCGTTCAGTTTGCTGTGTATCTACAAAACTCAAACCTTTATGCAGGGATTTCACGTAAGATTTTCGTCTGGTAGCAGAGCGTGTCTGATGCTGGTTCAGAGACGTGAACGCTCTACAAACGTACCGCATTCGAGCAATCAAAGCAACACCGCATCATGCTTACTACGGACGTTAGCATATACTTTCTTTTTGAACCGGACTTTGCTAAACCTTCATGATACAGGCGTAGAAATATTTTGTCAAGTATTTGGTAGGCATCAACATTTTTGTGTCTACTGGGTTTTTGCTGATAAAGTTCTTCCAGGCTTCTACAAAATGCGGTTAGTTGAATCGTAATTCTTGACTTTCAAAATTTGATTAAGCACAACCATAGCTATAATGTCATAGCACTAGACGTAGTCGACGTCGAGTCGAGTCCTTGGATACATGAAACAGTAGGAATGTGGATAGACGTTCCCGATCTTGTGCTGCAATTGTTGCGCGACAAATGCATCAAACCAGCAGCCGCCATACATTCTGCGGAACATGCTTTCCTAAATCAGTTCCCTCTAGCATCAGATATTCGAACGGAATGCAAAGCCGAAGAAAAGGAATATCTAAAGAGGGAATCTCGCCGAAAACGGCCAGCGAGGTTGATTATGTATGATCCAGTAGGGCACGGAAGTGGTGTTGCAGCGAAAGCCTTTGAGCACGGTACGCAGATGCTATTGGATGAAACGCAATCACTGAAGATACTTCCAGCGTCTGATACATTGAACAAGGCCCTGGTTGCTGTAGAAAGCTGTCGATGCGAATGCGGGTGTGTTAAGTGTAAGTTCACCCAGCTGTTGTCATCCATGCCAAGTTGACTTTCTTTGAAAAGGCATCCTTAGCCCTTCGTGTAAAGAAGGAAATATCGTTTCCTCTAAACCAGGAGCGCTGGCCATCTTGAAAGCAATTCTCAATATCAAAATTGATCCTGATAGCATACCGTTTGAGACCGACGAGAAGGCATTGCACGGTCATGATTCAATCATCAGTGTATCACCTGTTCACACTAGAACAGCTCAGAATGTACCTATTGTGAATGATAGCAGTACATGATTATATATCCATCCACAATGAAAATAGTATCATAATCATGCAAGAGGGTCAAAGTCACCCCAATCGTCTTTAGTTGACTTGTTCGATGTATTCCACGAAGGCTGAGGAGGTTTGGACGGAGTGAGCAAAGTACTCATCATTGTAGAGTTGTTCATCACGCTCGGAGTTATCGCAGGCATCGCTGCAGTCGATGTGATGATGCCTGGATTGAGCACAGGCGGGACACTTGGAAGGGTGATGTTATAATTGGGTTTTTGAGGTTGCGGCCCACCAGAGAGAGGCGGGACCGGCTTATGAGGTGAAGAAAATGTGTTGAAAGGGTGGAGTGGCGTCATTATTGGACTGACAGTGTTAGAGGTCAATGAAGGCATTGAACCTAGATGCTGATTTGGGGGACTAAATGAGTTGACAGAGGGAAGGGAAGGTCTAGATCCTCCAAGCCTCGATGCTTGTACAGGTGCGTGTTGTTTCGGAGAAGAAGAAAGGGATTGAACAAGTGACGTTGTGGTAGACAGTGGTGGAGCATGGCGAACTGTTGGTTGAAGACGGCTATTTGGTAGGTAAGTACATCGAGTGTAACCCATAAGTAAAGTAAGAATGCTGAACCGACATTGTCATTAAAAATGCTTCCCCATACGTCATCATCCCATGAGGTTTTCCCAGCAGTAGAACCGAGAGATCCGCCAGTAGCATTGGTTTGAACTGCTCCATTTTTACCCCCAGCAAGGCTTTCAAAGTCCATCGAACCAGCAAATGACTGCGTTACAGTCGCGCCGTCCACAGCTATTGCCGATCTATCTTCGAGTCTTTGGGAATCGCGCAAGAATTGATGATGTTCTTTCTCCACCCGATCAGCCAGTTTACGGATGACTTCCATGAAGCGTTGAAATTGCCCGACATTGAGTACTGTAAGACTCTTGGGATCAAATTTCGGGAAGGCATAATTGTGGTATGACTCACAAGGGCCCATTGACATACTCCATAACTGAGGTAATACGAGTGTGGCAACGGCTTCTCGATCCACCTTGGAACCCATGGCCTCTTGGACAGACAATGTTGCCATCTAAGAGAGTTATATCAGAGTAACTGAGGTGAAGTCACGACGAGGTGGAACTTGCCATGACGGCAGGTTCCTTTGTCCTGATCTTTGACAGGAGCGGTACCATTTTCTGCGTAAGGCTTGACTGTATAGTAAGGATGTGAGTTCTCAGATTGATAATCATACAAGAAAGACTGACTTGGTCAAGGGTCTTCACCATAGCCAGAAATGTGACTAGTGTTGCGACTTTGACAGTCAGGACGCGCGTTTTTGTGAACACAAGCTGGCGCGTAGATCAGTTACATATTCCACTTCAAAATTATGAAAGAACCATACAGCTAGCCGAGGGAATAGAACGCCCTGCAGCTCTGCGTAGTCGATGGTATCGCATAAATCGGGAATCATCTTCAATGCCCTTTCTTGAACCTCCTCCTTGTTCAGCTGACTGAAGGAAATTGAAGAAAGGAGATGACTTACCACCGCATGCTCTGAATCAAGAGCATTGTATACCAGAGGTAAAACCTCTAAAAGATTAAGGACGTATTAGATCGTGCTGATACGCACCCACAATGATAGTACGAGACTAGCCTTTTCGGAACACAACTTTTTGAGTTTTATTTTGCAACATGGGGAGGTTGTCTAGAAGTGTTAACATGTTCGCCGGAGGCTCCTTGACAGCAAACAGCGGGGTCAAGCTAGGAAGTACCATAGATGCGAACTGAGAAGACGAAAGACTATTGGCGATGGCGAACACGTTGGGCAAAATATAGGGCAAAAGATGCGAATCTTTCATATACCAATACGATTAATAGCATGAACAGTGGTGAGTCGAGTCGCACGTACTTCCTCCAACAACGTAGGCAAGATTTTCCTGCTCTTGAGCCCTTCCGAAAATCTGCTGAGAACGCTTGTGAGACCCTTCATGAATGAGGTCTCCTCGCGTGTTTTAGCTGTGAAATTCGAACGGTCTAGAAAGTTCAATGTTGAAATAGGAAGTGATGAAAAGAATGGATCGGAGGGTAAAATTG